GCAACTTCCCAACGGAAGCCCTGTGATGCACACAAAATACAATGCACATAAAACACAAGTGCAAATGGGCTCAAGGCTTCTAAGACAATGTTAGGCTGCCATCTTCACTGTTGGGACCCCTCCCGGGACACCCCAATTCCCTCCACCAATAGGAACTCCTGATGATCTCCAACTTTGTTTATATTAAAAGTTTCAGTTTTCTCTTCAATTGTCCACTCTTTATGAGAATGGTAACTTTCTCGTGTTTAAACTCGAACCCAAAATCTCTGTTGCTAAGCGAGATATTTGTTAAATGACTTTTGTCCCATTTTACAACCTTTCTTGCCACAGTTGTTAAGTGAATCACTGCAGGTTAAGTGAATCTGGCTTGCCTATTGACTTTGCTTGTCAGAACTTCGCAAAAGGGATCACATGATCCTGGGACACTGGGACCGTCATGAATATGAAGCAGTTACCAAGCGCCCGAATTTTGATCATGTGATCACAGGGAGGCTACAACGATCGTAAATGTGAAAAAACGGTCATAAGTCTCTTTGTTCAGTGCCATTGTACCTTTGAATGGTCACTAAACAAACGGTTGTAAGTCGAAGTCTACTTGAAAATTTCCCCCTCCCATCTCCATCTTGGCTTCTAAGGAGAACCATCTTACCCAATAAAGCTTCAAAACTTTTCCAACTACAGTGGTAACTCAGTACTCAGACTGATTACTTCCGGGAGGCACAATGAGTACCAAAAACTATGAATACGAAACACATTTTTCCCGTAAGGAATAAGGTAGTGAGTCACAGGGCAGCTGACACCAATAACTTCTAGCTTGTACGTTGAGTACCAAACAAACGACGAGTCAAATTTTGGGTTAAAATGCATTGAGTACCCAACTTGATGAGTTTCATGTAAAAACTCATCTGGCCCTAAAAACTTCACTTGACCCTAAAAATCTCCGTGGGTACCCACTTGTGTCTCTGTGGAATGAAAACTGAGTTTTCTCTTGCTAGCCATACCGAAATAAAAGCACTGCTGCTGGAAAAAAAGACCAGAAGCTTTGATGTGGACATCAGCTTCGTTCTCCATCAGGAACTTCACAAGATCTAAGTTCCTCTTCTCGATGGCGATGTGGAGGGCTGTGTGGCCTGCAGAGAAGGGATAAAATGGAGGAGGAGGAGGAGAAAGAGGATGAAAAAGAGGAGGAGGAGGAGAAAGGAGAAGAAGAAGGAGAGGAGGAGGAGGAGGAGGAGGAGGAGGAGGAGGAGGAGAAGAAGAAGAAGAAGAAGAAGAAGAAGAAGAAGAAGAAGAAGAAGAAGAAGAAGAAGAAGAAGAAGAAGAAGAAGAAGAAGAAGAAGAAGAAGAAGAAGAAGAAGAAGAAGAAGAAGAAGAAGAAGAAGAAGAAGAAGAAGAAGGGAGGAGGCAAAAGAGAAGAAGACAGCAAGAAGAAGGATGGAAAAATAATTATCCCAATTGTAGATCAACTTCCAGCCACCCCACCCTACAAAGCAGAATCCTCCACCCTCACCGTCCCAAGAAGGAGCCTTACCTTTGTAGTGGCTGTCAGTGCAAGCGGCATTGATCAGAGGAACGCGTCTGTCGGTCTCCTTGTCTATCTTCAAGAGCAAAGGGATGGTGGGGTTCAGCTTGTCTTTCGAATTCAGCAAGGCCTTTATCAAACAGGTTTTTCCTGTCTCCCCATCTGGAAGAAAGAAGTCCAGGAAAGGATGCTTGGGTGATGCCTGCCTCATCTTCCATCTTCCTAAAGCAGTGTTTCTCCACGTTGGACACTTGAAGATTGGCCCCCTCAGAGAGGGCTCGCAACTTGGGAGTCCTCCTGGATCCACGGCTGACATTGGAAGACCATTTGTCGGCCGTGACCAGGGGGGCGTTTTATCAGGTTCGCCTGATCCACCAGTTGCGACCTTTTCTGGACCGGGACGCCTTGCGCACGGTCACTCACGCTCTCGTCACCTCTCGCCTGGACTACTGTAATGNAATAATAATAATAATAATAATAATAATAATAATAATAATAATAATAATAATAATAATAATAATAATAATAATAATAATAATAATAATAATAATAATAATAATAATAATAATGTTGGAAGGGACCTTGGAGGTCATCTAGTCCAACCCCCTGCTCAGGCAGGAAACCCTATACCATTTCAGACAAATGGCTGTCCAATCTCTTCTTAAAAACTTCCAGTGTTGGAGCATTCACGGTTCTGGAGGCAGGTTGTTCCACTGGTGAATTGTTCTAACTGTCAGGAAGTTTCTCCTTAGTTCTAGGTTGCTTCTCTCAATACATGAACCTTTTAACCAATCGTCAAATTCATCAGATTCCTGATTAACAACCAAGGAATTCTTTTCTTTAGACCAGCGGCCAGGGGTAGGCAACCTTGGCTCTTTTATGATTTTTGGACTTCAACTCCCAGAATTCCTGAGCCAGCATGGGGGAACTATGGCCCCTTCATGACCCGTGGACTTCAACTCCCAGAATTCCTGAGCCAGCATGGCTCAGCTTGGAAACCTCTCTCTTTCCCCTCAGCATGGCTGGCTGAGGAATTCTGGGAGGTGAAGTCCACGAGTCATAAAAGAGCCAAAGTTGCCTATCCCTGGAGTAGCCAATCAAGCTATGGCTAGTCTAGAGAAAATAAGGATTAGGGGTGACACGATAGCACTATTCCAGTATCTGAGGGGCTGCCACAAAGAAGAGGGGGTCAAATTATTCTCCAAAGCACGAGAAGGCAGAACAAGAAACAATTGTTGGAAACTGACCGAAGAGAGAAGCAACCTGGAATTAAGGAAAAACTTCCTGACAGTGAGGACAATCAACCAGTGGAACAACTTGCCACCAGAAATTGTGGGCGCTCCATCACTGGAGGTTTTTAAGAAGAGGCTAGACAGTCACTTGTCTGAGATGGTATAAGTTCTCCTGCTTAAGCGGGGGGCTGGACTAGAAGACCTCCAAGGTCCCTTCCAACTCTTATTCTATTCTATTCAAATACAAAGCCCAAAGAAGGTATAAAAACCCACCACTCCCAGCTCCATTTTTCAGCCCCCCCCCCCCGAAATATGCTGTGTCAGTGAAGTTTCTGGCAACTAAATAAACTGAACCTTCTTTCCTAAGCAGTCTCCATTTTGTTTATTCCCACCTTGGACTGGACCTCCAAGGTCCCTTCCAGCTGTATTCTGGTTTGCCCCCAATTCAACTCTGAGCTACAAATATTCTCCTCCAGTAGTAGTTCCATGAGGTGTGCCTTGTTTTTACACTAATGTAAAGTCACGAGAGTCAGCAGGGAGCAATAAGCAATTACCTCTATATTTAGGGTCGCTGAGAGAGCTGGACGTTTTCCGCAGATAATCGCTCAGGCCATTGAGCAGTTCAGGATCTCCTGCTACCACGGCCTGGAAAAGACGGTCCCTGTCGAAGCGATCTGGGTCATCCTGTCTGGAGAAGAGAAAAGAAAGGAAAAAGGTCCAGGAGGGATTTGGTCCTTCAGTCCTTTGGCTGGTCCATTTGCTCTCTAAAGATCTGCCCAGAAAGACCCTGGGCTCATCCACAGATCCCCCTCATCCAGCGGGGGGCTGGACTAGAAGACCTCCAAGGTCCCTTTCTATTCTATTCTATTCTATTCTATTCTATTCTATTCTATTCTATTCTATTCTATTCTATTCTAGTCTAGTCTAGTCTAGTCTAGACTAGACTAGACTAGTCTAGACTAGTCTAATATGATTCTATTCTAGATTCTATTTTAATATTATTCCATTCTAGTCTAGTCTAGTCTAGTCTAGTCTAGTCTAGTCTAGTCTACTCTACTCTACTCTACTCTATTCTATTCCATATTTTCTCTTCTATTTTCTATTTTCTATTTTCTATTTTCTCTTCTGTTCTCTCTTCTCTTCTAGTCTAGTCTAGTCTAGTCTAGTCTAGTCTACTCTACTCTACTCTACTCTATTCTATTCTATTCTATTCTATTCTATTTTCTATTTTCTATTTTCTATTTTCTATTTTCTATTCTGTCCTGTCCTGTCCTGTCCTGTTCTCTTCTCTTCTCTTCTCTTCTCTTCTCTTCTCTTCTCTTCTATTCTATTCTATTCTATTCTATTCTGTTCTCTACTATTCTATTCTATTCTATTCTATTCTATTCTATTCTATTCTATTCATCCACTGCAGGAATATGCCCCAGTAACCATTTTATATGTTTTTATCTCATTCAGAACGGTAGCGGTTTCATGCAGGGCTGGCCCAAATGTTAGGCAATGAAGAGTTTTGTTTCGTGATCTTATTATCGGACAGGTGGTTCTTTTAATTCTTTGAGTGTGAATAGCAATAGCGTGACAGTCCCTGCCTGCCAAATTCTAATTTGTGGGACCTGACACACAAGGAAAAAGAGGTCAGGAGGGAGCAAGAATAAAGCAGCTTTTGATACCACTTCATAAAACCCCAAGTTGGGATCTAAACAGTTTTAAGTATTCTTGACGCTTAAGTTAAAACTGAGGATAGATCACCGTCAGTTTCTTTCTAAATAGATTTTATTTATTTTCTTTAATTATGAGAACTAGTGTGGTCTAGTGGTTAAGGCACCAGCTAGAAAGCAAGAGATTGTGAGTTCTAGTCCCGCCTTAGCCATGAAAACTGGCTGGGGGCCTTTGAGCAATCACCAGGTGATGGTGAGTTCTAGTCCCGCCTTAGCCATGAAAGTAGGCTGGGTGCCTTTGAGCAATCACCAGGTGACGGTGAGTTCTAGTCCCGCCTTAGCCATGAACGCCAGTTGGGGATTTGGGGCCAATTACCAGGAGACAAGTGAGTTCTAGTCCCACCTTAGCCATGAAAGCTGGCTGGGTGCCTTTGGATCAATCACCAGGAGATGGTGAGTTCTAGTCCTGCCTTAAGATACAAAAGCTGGTTGGGGACATTGGGCCAATTACCAGGAGACAAGTGAGTTCTAGTCCCAACTTAGCCATGAAAGCTGACTGGGTGCCTTTGGACCAATCACCAGGAGATGGTGAGTTCTAGTTGTGATTTAAGATACAAAAGCTGGTTGGGGACGCAGGAGACAAGTGAGTTCTAGTCCTGCCTTAGGCACAAAAGCTGCCTGGGTGACTTTGGGCCAATCGCCATGAGACGGTGAGTTCTAGTCCTGCCTTAGGCATGAAAGCCACCTGAGTGACTTTGGGCCAATCACCAGGAGACGGTGAGTTCTAGTCCTGCCTTAAGCACAAAAGCTGATCGGGTGACTTTGGGCCAGCCAGTCGCTCTCTCTCTCTCTCAGCCCAACTCACAGAGTTGTTGTTATGGGGAAAATAGTAGAAGGAAGGTGCATTGGATGTGTTCACCGTCTTGACTTATTTGCAAAAATAACAAAAGCAGGAAACAAACGAACAAATAAATAATTGTGTTTCTGCATTGCTTTAAGACTGCTGCATAAAATAAGAAAGCAACCCATAAGCCTTTGACAGAGATAAATGCAAAGTTCCTTCTGGTCGTGAAAATCTGTAAAATAATTCCCACCGGTACCAGGGATAATTACTTACTTTTTGGGTCCTGACAGATAATCCAGATTCACCCGAATCCGTGGGGAGGGGGTCCTTTCCTTCTGGAAGGGGGTTTCCAAGGCTGACGGTCCATGCTCCTTCCCAGATGACCCCGTGGCACCTGCGTTCAGATCCTCTACAAGGCCGTCAGCTGTCTCCAAGAAATAGCGGGAATTCTCCATCGTCCAGGATGGGAGGCTGGCGGGGTGACAGTGGCAGATGGGCCAAAGGGCTGACCCCAACGGGCTGGCAGAACTGGAGGGGTTGTGGGGAAGGGGTTGGGCTAGACACGGGGGTCCAAGGGACCAGTCCACCCTCTCTCAGCCCAGCCTTCCTCGGTGTTGTGGGGAGAAAATAAAGGCCAGGGGGAAAAAAGGAAGGTGTAAAACTGGCAAGCAAACAAAACAGAGGTGGAGGAGAGACAATACGAGATAGTCCTCTATTTACAACCGTTCATTTAGTGACAGTTTGAAGTAACAACGTTACCGAAAAGAATGACTTATAACCAGTTTTCACACGGTGATGACGTTACCGTTTCACACTTATATCCTCATGGTTGCGTGATCAAAATTCAGATGCTCGGCAACTGACTCGTACTTATGACGGTGGCAGTGTCCCAGTGATCCCCTTTTGTGACCTTCTGACAAGCAAAGTCAATGGGGAGGCCAGATTCGCTTAGCAACTCTGTCACTGTGATTCACTTAATGACGGTGGCAACATGATTAGGGGACTGGAGGCTAAAACATATAAGAAATGGTTGCTGGAATTGGGTATGTCCAGTTTAATGAAGAGAAGGACCAGGGGGGGACATGATAGCAGCGTTCCAATATCTCAGGGGCTGCCCCAAAGAAGAGGGAGTCAAGCTATCCTCCAAAGCGCCTGAAGGCAGGATGAGAAGCAATGGATGGAAACTAACCAAGGAGAGAAGCAATCTAGAACTAAGGAGAAACTTCCTGACAGTTAGAACAATTAACCAGCGGAACAACCTGCCTCCAGAAGCTGTGAATGCTCCAACACTGGAGGTTTTTAAGAAGAGACTGGACAGCCACTTGTCTGAAAGGGTATAGGGTTTCCTGCCTGTGCAGGGGGTTGGACTAGATGACCTCCAAGGTCCCTTCCAACATCATCATCATCATCATCATCATCATCATCATTTTTATTAAGTTCGTAAAACGGGGCAAAACTCACTTAACTGTCTTCCTGAGCAACGGAATTCTGGGTTCCACGGTTGTCGTGTGTCGACGACTAACTGTAAAACATTGTCAAGCCATTTGCGAACTTTCCAAATTTAGAGCTTTTGGGAGGAAGGAGAAAAAGAGGAAGAGAAAAGGAAGGCTGCCAAGTCACTTTTCTCAGCGCTGTTGGGACTTCGAGCAGTCACTAAATGAATGGTTGTAAGTCGAGGACTATCTGCATTAAAATCCTAACGTGCCATTGTAAGAAGCAGCCGTGTGTCAATCTTACAGTAAATATCCATGAAGATAAACCTTGCACATGAAATGTCTTTTGGCCTCGTCCCTGATGCGTAAAACTCAGAACAGGTCGGAGAAGTAAATTTCAGAAGTACCGAGTTAATAATAATAATAATAATAATAATAATAATAATAATAATAATAATAATAATAATAATAATAATAAAGTTGGAAGGGACCTTGGAGGTTTTCTAGTCCGACCCCCTGCTCAGGCGGGAATAATAATAATAATAATGATAAAGTTGGAAGGGACCTTGGAGGTCATCTAGTCGAACCCCCTGCTCAGGCAGGAAACCCTATATCCGTGGTGGTGAACCTATGGCACACATGCCACAGGTGGCATGCAGAGCCCTCTCTGTGGGCACGTGCGCCGTCGCCCCAGTCCTAGGCCTTCGGCTGGGTTTTATAAAACCTTTTCGCCACCGTGTGCAAAAAAAAAAAAGGTTCAATCAATCAATCAGTTTCAACTTCTCCTGGGGAAAAAAAAAGATCTTGCAAAGTTGGAATTGATTGATTGAACTTTTTAGTCCCACCCAGTCTGCCGTTACCACTGCAGCCGTGCCCACCCAATGGGCCACACCCACCCAATGGGCCATATGCACCCAATGGCACCCGACGATACATAAGTGGGTTTTGGGTTGCAGTTTGGGCACTCGGTCTCTAAAAGGTTCGCCACCACTGCCCTAGATCATTTCGGACAAATGGCTGTCCAGTCTCTTCTTAAAAACTTCCAGTGTTGGAGCATTCACCGCTTCGTTCCACTAGTTAATTGTTCTGTCAGGAAGTTTCTCCTTAGTTCCAGGTTGCTTCTCTCCTTGATGAGTTTCCATCCGTTGCTTCTTGTCCTGCCTTCAGGGGCTTTGGAGAATAGCTTGACTCCCTCTTCTTTGGGGCAGCCCCTGAGATACTGGAACCCTGCTATCCTGTCCCCCCTCATCCTGCTTTCTCCTTTTCTCCCCAAGAGGGCTACTGAAGGATGAGGGCTTTTTTCTTCTCTTACCCACACTCGGCTGTATTTGCTGCCAGAGCTGGTTCTTTGGCGGCCCTGCTCCCTGGATTTGAAGGGGGCACTTAGGAACGACCAAAGATGACTTTCGGGCCGCTGTGGACCCACCCAGGAAAGGGAATCCTGAAGATTGTAGTTCCTTGTGGGAATAGCCAGAAAGTCAGTGGTCTTTATATATATATATATATCTTCCTATTGGCAGAACGATTTCGTAAGCATGCCTGGGACTTTTAATTTCACTTTTTGAACTTCTGCTTTTTATCTGTTATCTTTACATTGGCTGGCTGAATACTGATTTATTTCAGGCGCCACCTGGACTATCTGCTTTTTTCTCTTTGAGTTGTTTGGTTGTTTATACCAGAATCTGCTTTCTCGTTTGGAAACAAGGCACATATTTTGGGATGGAGAAAGTGTTTATATTGTTTCCATCCGTTGTTTCTTGTCCTGCCTTCAGGTGCTTTGGAGAATAGTTTGACTTCCTCTTCTTTGTGGCAGCCCCTGAGATACTGGAACACTGCTATCCTGTCACCCCTCGTCCTTCTCTTCATTAAACTAGACATACTCAATTCCAGCAGCCGTTCCTTATATGTTTTAGCCTCCAGTCCCCTGATCATCTTTGTTGCTCTTCTCTGTACTCTTTCTAGAGTCTCAACATCTTTTTTACATTGCGGTGACCAAAACTGGATGCAGTATTCCAAGTGTGGCCTTACCAAGGCCTTGTAAAGTGGTATTAATACTTCACCTGATCTTGATTCTCTCCCTCTGTTAATGCAGCCCAGCACTGTGTTGGCTTTTTTGGCAGCTACAGCACACGACTAGCTCCTATTTAAGGGATGGTCCATTAGGACTCCGAGATCCCTCTCACAGTTGCTACTATTGAGCAAGGTACCCCCTATACGGTACCTGTGCATTTGGGTTTTCTTGCCTAAACATAGACTCTTATTTTTCTCACCATTAAATTGCTATTTGTTAAATAGGGTCTAGTGTTCAGGTCTGTCAAGATCCCACCCCTCACTGCACTACTCAGCTAAATGAAATACATCCTATTAGTAGCAAAGCAAAAATAAACAGCCTATTTACTTCCTCTGATTTAAAACGAAACTACAAGTGAAGTATTAATACCACTTTACAATGCCTTGCTAAGGCCACACTTGGAATACTGCATCCAGTTTTGGTCACCACGATGTAAAAGAAATGTTGAGACTCTAGAAAGAGTGCAGAGAAGAGCAACAAAGATGATTAGGGGACTGGAGGCTAAAACATATGAAGAACGGTTGCTGGAATTGGGTATGTCTAATGAAGAGAAGGACAAGGGGGGACATGATAGCAGTATTCCAGTATCTCAGGGGTTGCCACAAAGAAGAGGGAGTCAAGCTATTCTCCAAAGCGCCTGAAGGCAGGATGAGAAGCAACGGGTGGAAACTAATCAAGGAGAGAAGCAACCTAGAACTAAGGAGAAACTTCCTGACAGTTAGAACAATTAACCAGTGGAACTCCTTGCCTCCAGAAGCAGTGAATGCTCCAACACTGGAAGTTTTTAAGAAGAGACTGGACAGCCATTTGTCCGAAATGGGATCGGGTTTCCTGCCTAAGCAGGGGGTTGGACTCGATGACCTCGAAGGTCCCTTCCAACTTTATTACTATTATTATTATTATTATTATTATTATTATTTCCAATACAGCCTTTTGCACCTGCTCTAACGTCATCTCATTCATGAACCATATCGTTTCGTTTTAGGATGGGAACAAGATACTCACTGACAAGCTGATTTTCACAATGCCTAATTGCCCCAAATCTCCAAGAATCCTTTGCAGGGATCTCCAGCGGTCGGTTCACCTGGCAAACACAAGAAAGTTGGCCAAGATCCTTGGCCCAGAACCACAACACACCTTCTACACCGCTAGATCTGCAGCCCAGAGGAAGAGCAGGGGTTCCACTTGGGGTAGGGAAGCCTCAAGTATGTCTGACAGCGAGATTATTGCAAACTTTATAGCCCTGAAAAGGAGGAAGTGGTTAGAATACTCTGTCTTGAGAAGCTCAGAGACACCATCGTGAGATTTTCTCCATTTCTCCATTTGAAGATTGTGTTTAGAGGAAACGAGAACATCTCTGACCTTGTGTCCAAAGCAGAAAGTCCTAACGTTTGTAAGATATTACTTCTCCTTGGACTAGAGGTCAAGCTCAAGCAGGAGACCCTATACCATTTCAGACAAGTGGCTGTCCAGTCTCTTCTTAAAAAGTTCCAGTGTTGGAGCATTCACAACTTCTGGAGGCAGGTTGTTCCACTGGTTAATTGTCCTCACTGTCAGGAAATTTCTCCTTGGTTCTAGATTGCTTCTTAATTCAGTTCTGGCTCTGACCAGACTCGTCTGGCACCATAGGCCGCCAGTTCCCCCACCCCAAGTCCCCCTCTCTCTCCCTCAATCCTCAATCCTTTTTGTGTATATAGAGTGGGACTTGATTGTGTGGCTGCCATCTTGATTTTTTTTGACACCCTTGTGTTTCTTGGATGAGCTCCCGATGCCATCAACGGCATAAAATGACGTGAGTTTTCCAATTGCATTTTTTTAAAATTCCAGGCTGTTTATTTAATGACTTAAAGGTGTAAACTTAATAATAATAATAATGATAATAATAATAATAATAATAATAATAATAATAATAATAATAATAATAATAATAATAATAATAATAATAATAATA